AGAGAGAGAGAGAAAGAAAGAAAGAAAGAAAGAAAGAAAGAGAGAGAGAGAGAGAGAGAGAAAAAGAATTGACTTCCAACCCTCCTTGCAACAGATATAAGTAACAATAGACCTCAAACCCTTACTCTAAATTTTAACATCTAACTTCCATTATTAACCTGTATTCTAATTGTGATTTATATTGTAAAACTTGGTCAAAGAAACAATAGCTTGCTGTGTGCTATCACAACACACAGCAATTCCTATACACATCTTCTACAGCTAGAGAGCCAGCTAAGCACACTTTTCTCTGGCTGGGCGGGGCTGCAGCTTCTCACCAGTTCTCCAGTTCTTTGCAAAACTGGACTGATGCGAAAAGAAGAACAATACAGGCAGAACCAGCTGCACAATTCAATTCTCAGAGCACAGTATTTGAGCAGAAGAGGTGCAGAACTTCCATTTGCTTTTGAACATGAGCACAAGAAGACCACCATTCAGATCAAATAAGAGGTTTTTCTTTTGCTGTGAGGGAAAATGACTCTTATTCCTATTTCACAGACAGGCAACCCAAACCTAACATCATCAACCTTCTTAATTTGTTGTCCTCTAGATGGGTTGGACTGTGACTCCGTGGCCATTTGCCTGGGAGGCGCCGCACTCAGCTCCGGGGAGAAATGGAGAGGGGCTGGATTATATTCAAGCTTAAGGAACTGTCCAAGAGAGTTTCCATGCCAATAGGTCACTGCTGCTCCCTTCCTCCTCTTGTTTCTTTGATATAAGGATGAGCGCCAGCAGCCTCAATGGGGCCTTTTATCTAACTCTAACCTGATCCTCCCCAACCCCATGTTTGTGACTCCTAAAGCACCCCTAGATTGCACTACTGAAATTCAGTGGTATATGTTTTTTTGAATGGCAGGGAGGGAGGGAAATGAAGGGGCTAGACAGGTACATTACACCCTGTTTCTTATTTAGCCTCTTCCCTTTTCTGTGCTACCACAGTGACACTGGCCATACTCTTTTAGCTTTCAGAGTCTGAAAAAAGAAAAGAAAAGAAAAGAAAAAAATCAGAAGAGAGCCCGTGATCTTAAAACTATTAATGGCCCTCCTGATAAAAATCCATTCCAATTCCATTCCATTCTGTTCCTTTGAAAATGATCAGTTCTGATCTCTGGCAAGAGGAATTTGCCTCTTCCTATTCACCCTGCAAGGAAGGGAGGAAAAATAAGAGGCCAAAAATCAGGGAATGTGCTGTCCTTGCCCACTTTGGCTCTCTAGTGCTTTCTATTCTAATATCAGTATTTTTATGTTTTTATGTTTTTATTTATATTTCAAATTTGGTCACCGCCCATCTCACTAGGAAGTAACACTGGGCAGTTTACAGTAAAAATGCAGTATGTGTTGCCTCCGCCCAAAAGAGAATCTACCACCTTCCATAAAGAAACACATAACCCATCTCCGATGTATGTACTGCCACCAGTATGCACAGCTCTCCCCTAAAATGCTTCCGACTTAAAATAGGCAGAAAGATGGCGGAGGTGGAGATAAAGTGGAGAACATTTACAATTATTTCAAGGATGTGTGCTTAGGCTTGGCTACTCTAGGTTGCAGATGATTGATTCAAAGTTTTCAGCAAGAAAAGGGGGAAGGATTTGAAGGGAGCAGGAGGCTGTTCCCAGTGTTAGAGACAGTGGGGGAGAAAGGAAAGAATCATTGGAGAGAGACCTTTGGAATCAAAAATGGTGATATAACTGGAGAATCAAAGTCCATAGGGAAGGGAACTGAAGAGGAGAGCAAGAATAAAACTTTGCGTTGTATCCAAAGCAGAAAGGACAACCATACAGATTCAAGGCATCATACTGTCAAAGTAGCACAAGATGAATTTTGGAGGGGGAAGCAACAAAAGAAGAAGAAACTGCAATGGTCAAAGCAAACAAACAAACAAAAAAGAGCTAGGTCTAACTCAGAGGAAATACCATTATTTCAAGTCTCTTCTCTTATTAGAATGGGGAAGGAAAGAGAAGAGGATCATAGCCACAGAAACTGAGCTGTGATTCATGCCATGCATGTCTGTATATGATCAGGCTCAGGCCATTAACTGCTGATGCCAGGAACAGGCTGTAGCTCTTTGATATGTTTATTGCTGGCCATCAGATGGAAGCACTAGAAAGAGCAACTAATTTGGGAGAGCTGGATTTGCAAGGATGGAGGTGAGCAAGGGCTTCTCAATTGGCAGGCACAGAAGGACATGGCTTAAAAACACTATTTATGGCTGCAGAGAAAAGAGAGAAAATTGGCTTTTTTCAGCGAAGAAGCCATAGGAAATAAAGCTAGAGTAGCTAGGAAGGTAAAACAATGAGAGGTAGGTTTAAGATCTCCTTGTTAGCTTTTCAGTTGCCAAGGAAAAAATGGTGAACGCTGGATCTCTCCCTCATTGCCTCTCTTCTGCCATACAGCAGCAAACACTAATGCACAGAGATGGTTAAAAAAAAACCAAAGAGCTAACGATGCATTTGAATTTGAATACACTGAAAAGAGAGGAACAGGAGATAAAACAGTCTGATCCCTGGAGCTCAATCATCCACAAAGCACTCCAAAATTCAAGAACAATTCTCAGAGGAATTGTGTTTGTGGCTCCATTGGCTTTCTCAACTCTCAGGCGTGGATACAGAGGGCACAGAAGCCAGCTTGGTCCATGACAGGAACTGTACTCAACAGCTCCAAGTCTAGAAAAAAGCAATGGAACACTCATGACTTTCTTCTTTTCTCAATGTCTGAACCCAGACTAACTTACAGGATGCAGCTAAGCTGACAGCCTGAAGAATTTTGTTCCTTTTGCTTGACTAGCGGTGGACATTTTTAACTGCAACACAGCTGGGCAAAACAAAACCAAAAACAGAGAGCTGCATTTTCATTATGCAGCTCTCAAAACAAGTTCCATGGAACACATAAGAAAACTGGCAGCAGGGCAGATTTTACAGTCCCAAAGCTCCATCTCAGACAAGTAAAAAGAAGGCAACGTGTAGCTGAGCACCTTATGCCAGAGAAGACAGGCAGAGGCCATCAAGGAAAGCTAGAGATGTGACTGAGTGTTTGGGAGAAGGGAGTGTGTGGGTGATCACCACCGTACCTATGCCTAATGAGTCTCAACCAACAAAACTGCTTTGAAGATCAGAGTAGAAGGAAGTTGGAAATTTTGAGCATTCAACAGCATAGGAGGAGGATGGGAAAGGAAGAAGACCTTCACTGACAGTCTTCAAACAAGGGCTGGATGATGATCCATCAGAAGTGCTCTAGTGGATCCACACTGAGTAGGGAGTTGGACTGGGTGAGCTCTAAGATATCTTCCAACTCTACTATTCAATGAAAGAGCATGCATACACACACACACAAGAGATATCCTTTACCCTTCGGACTGCCCTCTTTCCCCTTTACTCTTC